TGTTGGGGGCGATATGCTGACTCTGTAAACCGCTTAGAGAGGGCTGAAAGCCCTATGAAGCGGTATATAAGTCTAAGTGCTATTGCTATTGCTAATGGATAGTGCAATGGCCGTAAGTGTGAAAAACAGTCATAAGCCCGAACCCAGAGCAGGATGGAGCCCATTAACAGAATAACAGAGTGGGAAGGGGGCCTTGGAGTCACATCTAGTCCAACCCTCTTGCCCAAGCAGGAGACCCTACCCCATTTCTCACAAATGGCATTAAATGACTTGCGTGATGCGTTGACGAGTGGGGTGGGGGCTATTGTATTATTTTATTGATTTATTATTTCATTACTTTCTTTTATATATATATATATATATATGATGTTTTTATATCCCTGTAAGTCGCCATGTGTGAATAGGCAGCAATATAAATTTTCTAAGAATAGGAATAATGAGGAGGAGGAGGAGGGGGAGAGGAGGAGGAGGAAGAGGAGGAGGAGGAGGATGAAGAAGAAAAAGAAGAAGAAGAAGAAAGGAGGAGGAGGAGGAGGAGGAGGAGAAGGAAGAGGAAGAAGTCCCTTTCTTCAGTGCCATTGTGACTTCAAACGGTTGTTAAATGAGGACTGAAGCTTTGATGCCCCACCAGATCCATCCCTGACTTGGGGGAGAATGTCCTCAGAACCGGCCGTTGGGTTCCCGTGGATTTCCCCCCCCCTGGGCTTCCCCAGAGGGAGAGGGAGAGGGAGGGTTTGACTCAGCCGGTGGCTGCTTTCCGTTTCAACCACAGGATGACACAAGATTTTCTTTGGGCTCCTGGGTGTGAAACTGGATCCCTGGTGAATCACCCGCATACCTTTCTTGGTGGGGGGGGGGGATGGGGTGGAGGAGGGGGCATGCTGGTGGGCTCTGGAGTCCATAGACAGGCGGTCCTCGACTTATAAACCATTCATTTAGTGGCCGAAGCTACAATGGCACTGGGGAAAAACCCCACTAATCACCCATCCTCGCACTTATGACCCTTGCAGTGGTCCCCGGGCACACACGATCAAGATTCGGGGGCTTGGTGACCCGTGTTTACGACGGTCGCAGTCACGAGATCCTCGTTGGTGACCTTCCCCCGATGGCTCCCAATAAGCAAAGTCAATGGGGGAGGGGCCGGAATCGGATTCACTTAACGACTAAACGCTCACTTAACAAGCAAAGGGATTTGCTTAACCACAACCATGTGATCCACTTAACAAACCATGGCAAACTCGGGTGTGAGTGACTCACTTAACAATTGCCTCGTTTAGTGATGGAAACACTGGCGTGAATTGTGGTCATAAGTGGAGGAAGAGCAGGAGAACCGGTTTGTGCTTGGCTTAAGGAAGACAAACCATGTTCATTGGTTGATGCAGGAGATCCTGAGTGGCTGGATTTTAATTGGCTGTCTGTGACTTTCCAATTTTGGAACCTACTCTGTGGGTGTGGCCTCCTTTGTGGGAGTGGCTTGCCCGCCATGTGTTCTCTCTCTCTCTCTCTCTCTCTCTCTCTCTCTCTCTCTCTCTC